GCCCTCCGCCCCCCCACCTCCCCCCCCAAAAAGAAAAGAGGGATCTTGTGCAATGAAACCTCTGTGAAGACTCTTTGTAGGAGAGAGTTCCAGTGGGACACACCATAAACCTGGTCATCTATATTAAGGCACCATGTAGTATACAGGCAACCCCTGCTTAACGCTCTCACTTGGTTCCGGGAAAACTGAGCGTTAAGCGGAACAGTGTTAAACAACCTATTTCGCCATAGGCATTAATGTAAATAGAAATAACTGGTTACTGCTACTTCTTGCCATAGCTTCTCAACATCACTGCCACCTCTCGCCACTCCGGCCCTATGTGCCAGCCCACGCCCCACACTCCTGCTGGCTCTGGCACCACAGGGTCCCACACTCGCTGCTTCTCCCTGCCACTTCTCCCCACCCCCCTGCCTGCCAGCCACTCTGGTACCATGTGCCACCCTGGGCCCCATGCTCCTGCTGCCCCACCCTGGATCCCAGCTGGCACTGGCAGGGCCCTGCACTCATGCCTGCCCCGCCACTTGCTACTTCTCCCCACCAGCCACTCTGGAACCATGTGCCAGCCCAAGCCCCTGATCCTGCTGCCCCACCCTGGGCCCCTGCTGGCCCTGGACCTGCGGCACCAGTGTGGGCCTTGAGCTCATGCCCACCCGCCCTTGCTGCTACTCACCACTTCTTGCCGCCGCTGCTGCTTTCCTGAGCACTATAATGAAACTACCTCAGCACCAAGTGAAATCAGGTATGAATTTTAAATGAGCGCTATAGTGAAATAGTGCCAAGCGAAACCACGTTAAGCAGGGGTTGCCTATATTGTAAAAAAAAAAAAAGGTCAATCCATTTTGCAAACACCCTGTTTGTCCACATGTTTGGCAGGAAGGATTCAAGGAAGGACTGAAACAGTGGTGTTGCATGGCAACATGGCAGAATTAAGGAACTCCAGTAGAAATGGAGCTACTTTCTTACACGCAATCTTTGCTTTAGATTTGGCTCCACCAAGGGGTGCCTCTGCCTCTTTTAAAATTGCTACAATAGTCCATGAATGGTAAGAAGAAAAACAGTAGAAAAATGACATTCATCTATTAAATTAATAAATTATGTTCTTAACATACTATAATACGTTAATAAATTGTCTACATCCTTTTCATATCATGGGGCAAATTCAGACTTGTCCAAGTCTGGAGTAATTCTGCAGACTTCTGCAGAATTACTCCCTATTTATCGCAGTGCAACTGAGAACTTTTTTTATTCTGAGCCTGTGAAGTTTTCTCCTACACTTCATGACAGAAAGGTGAATACTTCTAGAATAGTTGATAATTCCAAGTCTGTCTGAATACTACACCTAAGCTTTTAAATGCCAAGTTCATGAAAGAAACACTTTGTTCACCTGTTTCAGGGGTGTAGGTTGTAGCTGTGTTGGTCTAAGGACATACGCAGACGAGGTTCTTTGGGTAAATCCAGTATCTTTTATTAGACCAACTAATAAAATATATTGGATTTACCCAAAGAACCTTGTCTGACTTGGTTAACTTGACATTTAAGGTAAGTGGTTGTGGAGGAACTAACTATTTCACTTGCTTACTCATGGCTTCATTCATTTTAGGTTTGGTGGCATAACATAAGAAACATAAGAAATTTGTGGTGGTTATCCAGTGCCATATCTAGCTATATTTCCTTTTGGTGTGACCTTTTCAGCCTTTGTTGATTATACCCAGCCATTATCCTTCATACCCTGTTATGAAGGAGAGTGTATGGGCCCTGATAAATTTAAGCAATTTGAATAGCACAAAAGTAAACTGGTGTACTGAAATAATAAAATATTGCAGAACATTTGTTTTTTTCCCTCAGTGACACTGATTGTCATAGCTGAGGTTAAAATGGCTACATCTATCATTTTATGGCCAGTGTATGTACACAGTTTGGCGCTAACATTGAACTCCTTTCATCTTTAATATTAACAGAAAATGGCAGTTCAAATAATTTTTGCTGACCAAAACAGTGGGGAAAATACAGAAAGGGTAATAGCCTTCATTACATTGGCACAGCAGTTTTTCTTTACTGACAGCCAGTAACTGCTCCATAGTAAGAGCTTCACAGACCACTTAGAAAGCTGTTGTTTTAAGTCAATGGAGTCAGTATCATTCTGTGTTTTGCTCACAGTTTTGGACAGCTGGTATTATTTGGCTGCTGCTAATGTTAAAGAGGAAATGGGTTCAATGTACAGTGCATAACAGCACACTTGTATTGACACTAAAATGTTAATTCTGAACATTAAAAATGACTGTCACTTGAAAATAAATCATGCACTGTACTAAGATGTAATATATCATATTATTTCCATTATGTTATTTTTCTTGAATTATTAAAGCCATATGTTCCACTTTACTTCTATGAAAACCAAGTGAGCCTGTGGAAGTAGATCCTGTCTGTAATAGAGCACACAACATAAGAAGAAAATAAGAAAAAGCTGAAGTCACTCTCAGAACAGAAACTTCCAGGAGGAAGGGGAACAGAAATAGTTACCTGAACCACCGGGATCCCCTGTGATGGACTACAAGTTTTGCCATGATACTTCTATGTTCAAGTTGTTATAATGTATGATTCAGATTACTTCATTAACCTGTACACAGAGAAAGATGGGTTAAAGTGCAGGAAGGGACCAAGACCAGCTTGATCTTTACCATCAGCAGTTTTGAATGTTTTTGTGGACATAATACCCAGAAGGTGTGCAGAGGGGATAAACATGACAAAAGGGAAAGCAGGTTGGAAATAAACAGCCTGGCAGCTCCTGGCAAGAAGAGGCTGGGGACAGAGAGAAGTGGAGAAGCTTTAGAGAGCTGGAGAAACTGGAAAGGGAACAACTGAGTATCTTTGGGGGGGCTCAGGGCTGTGTAGGCTGGATAGAGAACAGAGGGACTGTTTAAGTCCTTTGCAGGAGACAAAGACCTTCCTCCGAAGCTCGCTGGCCTCTGCCCCAATAAATGCCTTTACTGAAGAGACTGTTTGCTGTGCTGCTTGCAACTGGCGGGCTGTACTAGGTTGCCCCAAGAGGAGGTGAAATCCCTTTCTCAGGATGGAATTGGATGCTGGCTCCTTGAGTCAGGACCACAGAGCATCATTGAGGGTGAGAGAAAGGCCAGGGTCTCAGCACAGGAAGGAGCTCAGGCTTCCCCCTTGCTTTAGAGGCCATGCCTGAGCTGGCTTCAAAAGGTACCCTCAGAGACCAAACAAGGCCATAGTGGTCCTGAGTAAGCATCACCCTGGGGGGCACTCTGTGACACCCCCCTGTCCTCAGCCCTTGTCCCACTCCCCTATAAAACGGTAACCTTTTCATGTTCAGGGCTTAAGTGACCCAGTTTGGGTCAGAGGCTGGCAGGTAGGCAGCCACTATAACCCAACCATTACCACTGCTTTTCCCTCCATGGTGCCACAGGGAAAATGCTCATCTCTGCAGGTTCTCATAGCACCAACTGCTGCTGAAACACCCTGTCCATGAGCAGGATCCTCTCGCTCTATGGATCAGATCCAGTCTGTGGTCTGTAGGTTGCTGACCCCCTTCCCTATGAGAAAGAATAATCCCAGATGGAAAACAGTCTAAAGAACATATCTAAAGTATGAAAGACAAACCAGTAAGTTGAACCAAGGAGGGAGCAGGCAACACGTGCCGGGGAAGAAGAGTTCCAGGCTGTAGAGCAGCAGTTTTCAAACTTCTTGAGCTGAGCCCCACTTTGAGTTACAATTTTGTTCAGGCCCCAGAGGAGCAGTGCAGCCAGGCACAGGGCACCCTGCATCAGTTCGGCTTGGCAGGGCAGGCTCCACCCACTGCAGCTCCAGTGCCTTCTGCCTTGGCCCCACCACAGCTGTAGGCTGCGCACCCACTGTGCCAGGCTCCCAGAGGCACAGCAGCCCTCTGTCAAAGCCTGCCCGGGGCTCCCTGCCCCCACATCTCCCTGCAAGGCTGCAGTGGCACTGGCTTCTTGCAAACTTCTTGCCCGCCTCCCCCTGCCCTCCCCATGTTCCTTCACACCCCCCAGGGGGGCGCACCCCACAGTTTGAAAACCGCTGCTGTTGAGGAACAAAGATTGTCGTGATCACCAGGTTCAGTGATGGCATGAATAAGAAAAACTACAGATGCTTAAATTGAAGCAGTAGACAAGCTTCTGCAGTCTTCAATCTCTCTAATATAGCTAACTGGCTGCTCCCTAACTCTAGGACCATTTCCCAATTTCCTTAGTTTGCTATGTTAGAAAGCATCTCTAAATTATAACTTCTATCATTACAATGATAAGGAAATATTTGGGAGTAGGATTTGAGTGCAAATGGGAGAAGGAAATGAAATGATAAACAAACCATGTCTCTATAATTCCCCCTCCCCCAAAAAATTACAACAAATATTTATTGAAGTTAGACAGAAGATAGGACAGGGTGACACCTTAAAATTAACTGGTTCAAAGAGACATGAGTTTCCACAGGTGACAGCATCAAATGCATATGATGAATCAGTTTATTGCCTAAGAAAGGTCATGTCTCCCTGAACCAATTATTCTCTAAGATGCCACCCTGCCCTGCCTTCTGCCAAACTTCAGACTAACACAGCTAACTGTCTCTCCTTATCTCCTCTCTACCTGTTCCTTATTAAAGACAGGAACAAATTTAAGTATTTCAGTTTACTTACTCTATGGTTTAAGTAATATTTATAGTTACCATAAGACATTTTTGTGAACAGTTAAAAGTCACTAAAAGACTTGGAGATGATCCATGAGATGATGGCAATATTTAATAATCACTCCATCTGAGATGCTTTATAAAATTGTTTTAGTGTATCATTAGATATAATAGAAATGGACTTCATGACTTACGACATGCTTGTGACAGGTTCTGCATCCATTAAAAACCACCATAAAAAGGGCTTTTTTAATGAGACTATATAGATCCTGAAAAACTACTCCAGTCTCTGACAAAAAATCTATGACACATTAAAAATCTCCTTCACTGCTCGTCAATACTAACAGACATCATAGCTGGTTCAAGCAAAGAAACTGTTGATGCTTTCAAGCAGTTGTGAGGAAGCCACAGCAATGTTCTTCCTTTCTTTCTTTGTTAAGTGTTGCCTGAAATATACTTTAATAAGTAATTTTACAAAATCATGTGCTGAAAAACTCAAATATCCAGAATGAAAGATATAATTAGCACATTTGTCATGGAAAATGTGACACTTAGACTGTTCTACACTCTTAGTTGTGTTTTGAAAGTTCTTTTGTACTTTCCAAATCACCTTTAATACAAACAGGGTTACAGCTCTTATGAATTAGTAGGGTTTCAGAAAAATACTTATTTGAAAAGAGTTTGTAACACTGTAAAGACACCCGAATGTTACCGTGGGCCACAACCAGAATGGGATTTTTTTTTTTTCCACCGGATGACATTGAATGTTTCTGTAGGCTGCTATGGGCAGAGTCTGGACAGACGATAGCCGGGTATGTTTGGTCACACTAGTTGAACTGACCAGTTTTACTTTTGCTGCTGGCTTTGACCAAGGACCCACTGTTCAGAGCCCTTGCCTCTTGCAGCCAGGCTAGTAGATAATATCCGGAGGCCACCCCAGGCATGTGACCAATGCAAAACAAGCAAACAAGTTAAACAAATAAGCTAGCACTTAGCCTATCTTCCAGTGGGTCTTCTGGGCTTCACCTTCTGGTTGCCTCTTATCTTTCAGAGGCTTTGCAGAACCTGTAGGCTTGTGCAACAAAGCAAATGATCAAGCAAGCAAGCAAACAGAAAAGAGCTCCAGGCTGGGCTTTCCCAGTGGCTGCTTAACTCCTGATATTTCCAGGCTCCAGGCAGCCTGCTCCCAGGCCAGGTGCAGCCCCTTGAAGCTGCTTTCAGTTCCTTTTTTTCTTCCCACTCTGGGCTCATGGTAGTGGCTAACCCTCTCTCAGTCCCTACACCTGTGTCAGCTCCCTTGCTGAGGGACCCACTAGGTCCCAGGGCCTGGTTCCCCAGCCTCGGGTGAGTGCTCCCAGGTCTGGGGTGGGTGCGCGGAGGCACTTCTGGGGTGTGGGGCTGTTCAGACTCCCCCACCCCCTAGTCACAGGGCAGGGCCCTGTTAGTTTCCTTCTTGGGCCAGGCCAGCAGTTAATTATGTAATAAAACAAACTGATAAATGTAGAATTATGGAAAAAAGTTATTAAAGTATATGCTGAAAGCAGTGAACAGAAACCAACGTTTTACTACGACTTAAATGATTCAATAAGCACGTTGAGTGTTGAACTGCTTTGTTCATGGTCTCATTTTTTTTGATTGCATAAAATTAAAATCCCATTAAATGACTCACGTCCGTGGAATTGCAAAAATACAAGCAGCAGTAAGCCCGCACATGGTCAACCTGCAATCAGCAAAGAAACCATCTAAGGCCAGAATGATCTGAGGGTGGAAACAGACGTCGCCTTTCCTTGCCTTTGTGCCCCATAAAAAATGTCGTCACAAATGGAAACGCTCTGCATTCCTGCAGCAATTCAGCAGGTGTCCTTTCCGGCGGCTACCGAGGGCAGCTGCTATACGTGTTAGGGTCGCAGTGCAGGGTGACGTCATTATACGATAGGAGGGGCGGCGCCCAGGGCCACCTGGCGGCGCGCTCGCCCCGCCCCCAACCGCTGCCCCCGCCTCGGCCACGCCCCCTCCCCTTGCTGGCAGCCCTTGGGGGTGGGGGGCGGGATGCAAATGAGGCGCCCCGCTCCGCCCCTCCGCGCTCGTGTGGACGGCGGCCGCTGTGGGTCAGTTCCGCCGCCGCGTTGGTAGCCCGCAGGCCGCGGCCGGGCGTGCGGAGGGAGGCGATGTCCGTAAGCGGGGAGCGCAGGGCCCGCAGCGCGCAGCACCAGCACCGACGCG